GGGGGGGGGGGGGTGCTATTGGAACGTCTTAAGGAAGTGTTGTCCTTTTTCGGATCGATCAGAAATCCAATATGGCTGCCACAGCAGATTTAAAATCCGATTTAACCTAAACTCGAGGTCTAATTGGCCTAATTAACTTAACTTTTTCAAGGATTTTCAACTCCTGCTTTTTTTCAGTTAATCGAAAAGTAATAAGGCTGACACAGCATCTATTTTACAGTATGATTTCGACATTTAACAGAAACTTAGTATGAAGGATCGACTGCTGGTCCCCATGAAGTGTTGTCATGGCTGCAACGGACGGAACTATTTCCAACTCAATTTCTTATTGGACGATTTAACCTGAAGATCGACTGATTGTCATAAAATATTTTTTAATGTTTTGTGTCTGCATGGAATCCAATATGGTAGCCGAGACCGTTTTTCAAAACCTATTTCAATGACGATCCAATGGGGCAATTTCACTGAAACTTTGAGAGGATGACCTACTGTTGGTCCTGTAAAAGCTATCAGGGCCACATTTTTAAAAATCAAGTTTTACTTGGTCGATTGCATTTTGTTCAAACCTGGTATGAAGGATGCACTTACGGACTTAAAGCAATGTTCTCCGTATACTCAGGAGGTCGTTAAACCCTTAGGTCATTGGTTTTAACTGTCCTCATAACGCGGAATAACTCAAAACAAATTTCATTTTTAGTCGCTGCAATTTTCAAATGCAAAATTTGTGGGTGTTTTTTCTTGCCTATTATCGATTACCTGAAATCAAACACGAATACCAACACAGAAGGTCGGTGATTTACTGATCTTATGATCTGGCACATACAATGTATTCTTTGAAATGGGACAGATTTACATGCTGTCATACTGTTCTCACTGCTTATTATAAAATTGAAACGAATTGATAATACACACTGGATTCATTACGATACAGTGACATCATGTTATGTAAATGGATTGATAATGATAAAGTAACGTCATGATGTGTTATTAGTTATAGGTAAATAATTCCTCCAGGTCTACGGAAGTAAAAAGGGTTTTCGTGTACGAGACATCGAATGTATCTAACATCTGAACATTCTATCTAAATGTGCTCAACTGTAAATGGAGTGTCACGTGCGTGGCATGAAGGTTGATCTGCCCTATACAGCAGATAAGCACGAGTGAGATGAGTATGACCAGTGCGAAGCCGACAGAGGACGACCTCCTCTCTGCGGTCTCTCCGACCGGGCAGGCAAGGTTTACATTTTTAATTGCACTTTAAAAAAAGTCTGATGCTGGTCTCGAGGGACCATACTTGCTGCCATTCACTTTGAATGGCCGATCGTATAATGAGTTTAAAATCTGCATGTTACAGTTTGATATTAGCCTGCCGGAGCTTTGACTTTTAGCTGCTCTGTCAGCATTCTCATTACCTTTTATTCCGTCGTGGCTCGGAATCCATAGAAGAATATTATTTTGCATTCCTTTGAGATTCAAGATAAGCGGAAAGAGAGGTTTTGTATAAGTGCAGATTTGTAAGGACCGATAGACAGTCAGAACAGACTATTTGCCTTTTGATGTAGTCAAAAGCTAAACCGATGGCACACGTTTTCGCGGAGAAAATAGAAAATAGAAATGGTGAGCAGAACAACATGCTAGCTGTTGCTACATTTTACCATCTTTGGAACCATCCTTGTAAAGCTGTGTGTGAGCAGGGAACCTCGAAATACACTCCCGGAAGGAGGTTGTGTGTTCTTCGGGCAGTGCACTTGATTTTTTCAACTCATACAATGTAAAATTAGCATCAGGTGTTTGTATAGTCCAAGGTTGAGCATCCGGTATGTTGTGTTCAGCTATGTTATTCAAATTGATGTTTAGCTCCTGCAGGTTCGTGTGATACGTTTAAGTTTTCTGGGTTGAAGACTGGGTTAAAGGAGTGACGTTGTTTTTATTTGAGTTTAGTTTGGCAGCAAACTGTAAAGAAAGCTTGTTTTTTCAGTCACAACGAAATGGTACTTTCGCTCCTCCGTAAAGGCTTTCTACTGGCGTTGTTCGAAAAACCACGAAGTGCTAGACGAAGCCCCTGTTTATGGATTGGATCAAACATTTGCAGTCAACAAATGCGTGCCGATCCCTATACCATTGAACCATAATCGAGTTTCGATGGGAAAATAATCTGTAAAGTCGCAAAAGCATGAGGACTTGTAGGTTTAGCGCCTTTTAACACTTATCTGTCAGATGCTTTATATGTGAAATGAAGGAGAGTTGAGAATCAAATGTTAGTCCTAGAATTCGGTTTGCTCAACAACTAGGATTACATTGTATAATGCTATGAAGTGTACTTGGGTCATTGTGTGGTTATCATTTTTGACAGAAGCGCATGCACACAGTTTTAGAATTTGGTAAATCAAGGTGTTTTCGTCTGTAATTTGTTGTGACATCATGATGTGTCATAAGATTGATAATGATACAGTGACGTCATTATTCGTCATTTGAATGATAATGATAAGAGACATGATGTATTTTTCTTATTGGTTATTGATAATTGTAATAGGTCAGAACAAAAACCTTAAAATGGTAGTTGTTATCCCCTGCTTGACGTTCATCATTTAGGGTTATCGCAATGTTCAACTGGTTACCCCGTTGTCAGTAAAATATGACCGGGTCGCATATTGTGTTGGATGTCTTAGGCATGGCATTCCAGTGCGGTAGCACTCTTAAGTCGGCCCAGATCCGTGCTTCCGCAAGAACGCAATTACACAAACACATTGCCCCCAGCTGACAAATAACATTCATACATACATAACACACAGATGTATGTTCTTAAATGACTCTAGCTGTTCATTAAACCGTTACCCGACCCCAAAAACCCACCCCGCATCCCAAACAAAATATAGAAAAATACAGCAGTATTATCAATACACTAACAACTTGAGTTCATCGTAACTGTACAAC